GCGGCCAATGGAAGAAGAACACCAGAACCACGCCCAGCTGTTTTTTTTTTTTTTTTTTTTTGTCAAACTACACTATGACTATATAGAGGGGACCCTGTCTCTTATACACATCTAGATGTGTATAAGAGACAGCACACACACACAGAAAACCTCTCTCTCTCTCTCTCTCTCTCTCTCTCTCTCTCTCTCTCTCTCTCTCTCTCTCTCTCTCTCTCTGTGTGTGTGTGTGTGTGTGGGTGGGTGTGTGTGTGAGTTACAGATGCTGATGCTTACATCTCTCTCTTTCCTTCATGGCATTCATCGCCGCTGCATTGTGTGTGGATTCAACGGGTTTGTGAAAGAATCAATGCTCTGATAGAAGCACGAGGAGAATAGGTTGACAAATCAAGCATGGACAAGAAATGAAGCGAAGCATAAGTCACTCACAAATGAAGCATCGACAGCAAATGGAGCAAGGTACATACTATGAAGAAGCAGAATTCCGGTTGCATGAACCTAAGTAAGGACCATATGAAACCTGAAATCCTTCGGTTCGTTGTCCACTCATCGCTAGAAGAAGACCACAGTCAATGCCCATCATCTTTCTATTTCTCCAATCTCTCACCCTTTGGACCAGTCAACTTCAAACTCGCCGCCAACCTCAGGTCCTTTATACATCCAAGTCCATAAACAAGCTGGATGCCTTTGGCAAGCAGAACTCTGATGACAACAACTCGAAGAAAAACAGAAAAATGCTTTACAAAAGGTAAAACATAGTACATACAAACATTATATAAGTTCATATAACAAGATAGACAACGAGAACATTTCGACGAATTTGTTGTCGGAGTTACGCACACTCCAACCCTGAAAAATCCTAAGTTTGTCCAATCCAATCCTATTCGAAATCCAAGAAGAAACCTTGCATCGGAGCAAGTTCGTGACCGTACCAAATCACTGTATACCTCTTCGACTCACTTTCAACTAAATCAACCCTGCGCACTGGAGCAAGTTCATGACAAAATACCACATCAATGTACCTCTTCGACACACGATCGACTACACTAGAAGAATATCCACTACACTAGAAAAACATCCACTACACTAGAAAAACATCCACTACACTAGAAAAACCTCCACTACACTAGAAAAATATCCACTACACTAGAATAATATCCACTACACTAGAAGAATGTCAACTACACTAGAAGAATGACATCAATGCCCCTTCCTTCACACCGTCTGCAACGGAAACAACTCTCCTGTGTGTGCAACGGTCTGCAACGGTCTGCAACGGTCACAACAATGGCACGATGACTACGTGCTTAGTCTTGGTTCGACTACGTGCTTAGTCTTGGGACGACCGCCGAACCGACGCGCTGAGTGGCCAGACTGTCTTCTGACTGACTGGGTGGACTTGCAGCATAGCGTAGCTTTTCCTCACAACCTTCGACAGCTATGAAAGAAGTAATGGTGAGCGCCAATGCGCCATGAGCGGAACTTATTTGCTGGCCTAGATCTTCCCCGCAGCTAACTGGGTGGAGTTTCAGCATAGCATAGCTTTTCCTTGCAACCTTGGACAGCTATGAAAGAAGTAAAATGGTCAGCGCCAATGCGCCATGAACATCGGCGAAACTTATTTACTGGCCTAGATCTTCCCAGCATCTAACTGCCAGCATAGACCAAACATCCATGCTCTGTCAACGCTGAAAGCGCAAACAACATCCAGAGCCAGAGTAGTTGTTTGACTAATCACCAATTCAATTGCACACAACGTTGCATATGAAAAAACACATTACAAAACAAACATCCCACTGACAAACCTGAGCCAAAGCAACTACCCTGAGGTGGGTAAATAGTATATACTCACACTACGACTGTTCGACTGAGCTCTGGACGTGATTACAGCCAGATGCATCCAGGTCTGGTCGTAATGGCAGTCTGATACTTTCAGGAAAGTGCTAGAGTGACTATGCAGCGAATAATCATGAGGATTCACAAGACTTCTTCGCACCTGAAAAAAGAAACCGGACGGACCATAGTCCTGCCCAACCTCCCATTTGGCTACTACTACTGGACCTCCCCTTTGCTACTGCTCGGCCATAGCATAAGCTGGCACGAAAGTTGAAGATATAGCAGTAGCAAAGTATCTGCCAAACGACTTATTTCAAAATTTTGCCTACACAGATACCAGGCCCCTGGCCTACTACACCGCCCCCCTTTGCCTTCTGTGCCTCACATCTGCTACAGACGGGCTGCGCTCCAGCGCCCTGGCGGCAAGTCAATGTGGACCCGTCAAATGTACACCATGAACAGTCTTTTTGAGGTCAGCGTGGGACCTCAGAGAGAGAGAGAGAGAGAGAGAGGGGCGACAGCTTGGCATTTGATGACAGCAAGCTCTAGCAGTGGATACACAATTCGCAGTAGATCAAATTGCATGGCCACAACTTACCGCTCACGTGCGCACCTGATGGTGCGAAGCGACGGCTGCCAACCATCCACAGAAAAGGAGGAACCCCACCAATTAAACACACAGCTCAGCTCATCAAAGTTCGAAGTTTTGTGGATCATAGCCACAGTGATAGGAAACCAGTACGCGAAACAACGACTTCAGGCACACGTTGATGTAGATCATGTAGTCTGCGGGCAACCTTGCATGTTTGCAGTGGTAAAATGGCAGAACAGGCAGACAGAGAGAGAGTAGGAGTCGGGCGCACAAAGTGACTGACTGAGAGAGAGAGAGAACGGAGTATGCGTGCTCCGCGACCAGCTGCTTGAGCACATGCATGTGCACACACACACATGAGAGAGAGAGAGAGAGAGAGAGAGAGAGAGAGAGAGAGAGAGAGAGAGAGAGAGAGAGAGAGAGAGAGAGAGAGAGAGAGNAGAGAGAGAGAGAGAGAGAGAGAGAGAGAGAGAGAGAGAGAGAGAGAGAGAGAGAGAGAGAAGAAGAATTGAATTGAATCTTACGCTTCCGTGACGATCCCAAGAATCCAACACTCGTCCTCCCGGTCAGGAGGCTGGCACTCAACCAAACGGCTAAGTGGACTGGGGTGAAAGTTAAGCCCCAAGATGAGCACTTGACCCCACCCCAGCACGGGTACTCGTTTTTCCCCGCGACCCGGTGTACCCAGTCACACACACCCACCAACACAGGCGTCGACGCAGCCACCACACAATGTACGACCTCATTGCTGGTTGCTACGCAGCTAAGGAGAAGAAGAGACACGTTGAGATTGTCAATTCACTTCTATTCCCCCACAAATATATATTACATAGGTCCCAAAAGGGGACAATTCCAGGGCTTTCTTCACCCTTCACCAGTCGAACTCACCCAGCGGATCAGCATTAGCACTTTGTCTGCAAGGAGAGGGTGAGGGTGGAGCATCCTCCTCCTCGTCATCTTCCACCCTATAGAATCTGAGCTCCGATTGAACTGATGCTGATGTATGTGTTGCACCAGATGCTCGACCAACTGCGGAGCGATGTTCCTTGAGGTTCTTCAGAAAGTACTTAGAATTTCTTTGCAGATTGATCTTGGCCCGCCTTTCTTCCGGTATGACGCAGGAATCTGCTGGAAGGAACCCGCGCTGCACAAACCAATCCGCCGTCCTTGTGGTCAGCAAGAACAGCCTTTCCAATCCCATCTCTGCAGCATGCTTCTCCACATAGGCGAGCAGGTTGTCCCCTAGACCATGCCCTCGGCAGTCGGGGGACACAACAAACGACGCCACCTCCGCACACTTCTCTTGAAAATGTGGAAACAGTGCCGCACAGGCGATTATGTTGGCATCCCTTTCTATCACGGTATAGTAGGGGAGCTCCTGGAGCAACTGCTTCTCCGACCTCTTCACAAGCACGCCGATTTCTTGCAGTGGAGCTAGCAAATTGGCTATGGCCTCAAGGTCCTGCCGTCTCGCAGCTCTCATGCCTTCATACATGTCATTCGATATCATAGTGCCCATCCCATCCCTTGTGTACAGTTCCAGCAACAGCGCTCCTTCAACAGAGCTATCAATCAGGTGCACTCTGCGAACCCCACCGGTGCAAGCGTCCACTGCCGTCGCCAGCTCAGCAAGATACCTAGCACATGTACTTTTACTTGAGCTAGGAACCTCCTCCTCCCTACTCTTCCCCACTGGCTGCTGCTGCCCATGATGATGTTGGTTGGCATCCTGTTGTTCTGCAGAATCAACCTTTCCATGGACCGCATCCCCCCCCCCTCCCACACCAACTGCGGCTGTGGCGCCGTCCGTCGGAGGAGGAGGAGGAGGTGCCTTACCTCGTCGGCTGGAACGTTGACCAGGTGCTATGTTCTTGTTGGGTCCAGAGCCTGGGTGATAAGGATGGCCGGTCGCTGGGAAGATGTGGTGCAGCCCGCCGTGCTCTCGAATCAGTGCCTCGCCTTGCTGTAATGTCATCCATTTGATAATCCTTCCATTGTCTGCAAGCACTGGCCCATCTGTCATACAGAGGAGCTTGTCTGCTCCCAACGAGATAGCAGCGGACCTGGCAACGTCGTACGTGTTGCAGTTAAGTACATCGCCGGTCGAACTGTAGCCGAGATTGCTGAGCACGACGACGCAGCCAGAGCTCAGCCGCTCCCTGATTCGCACAGTGTCAAGCTTCTTCACCTCCCCAGTGGCGCCAAAATCCACTCCATCCACAACACCGACCCTCTTCGCGGCCACGTAGTTGCCACTCGACACGCTGATCCCTACATCATGCCACCTGTCATTCTTCCCATGACGGCGCAGCATGGGAATCGCCGGCCCCTTTGACAGTTTGGCCTCGATATCGACTCGAATCCTGCCTGCTGCCTCCATAGCCGCCTCTAAAGCTACCTCATCTGTCACCCGGTGACCAAGCGCAAACGAGGCCTCAGCACCTCTCTTCCGTAGGAGAGAGTTGATTAGCTCGGATGCACCTACCACCAAAAGCATCCTGATTCCTAATCCATGCAGGAGAGCAACATCCTGCAAAATCCCGTAAAATGCTTTGCGCTGAGTCACGACCTTTCCAGGAATGACAAGGACGAAGGTGCACCCCCTGTGTTCTTGTATATAAGGCCACGACTCCCTGAACCAGCTGACAAACTGCCTCTGGTACGCTTCTTCCGCCTTCTCAGCAGCGGCCCTTAGCTCATCACCTGGACATTCATCTTGTTCCCTCCCCCCGCCCACCAATTCCTCCCCCCCCGTCCCATTCACCGTCGTCGTCGTCGAGGTTGTGACGTCACCGCTTCCAAAATCCTCCTCCGTTGTGCTCGACTGTGTCCAGTCGCCATTACTACTGTGCTCGGCGCTGGCGTCGCGATTGCGCGTACTAGTGTCCTTGTCATCACTAACAGCATCAGCATTCTCCCCGATGCTGCCACTGTTGGGCATAGTGGAAACAGTCGTTGATGGCGGCGGGAATCGATCTGCCGCCGACAGACAGAAGCGATGCCCAGCTGCCCGCCGGTGCGCGGGGGGGGGGGCACCGCACTTTCCAGACCGCCGCCGCGCAAAACACGTTTCCGCCACCACCTGGTTCGAAATCATGTCCTCCTCGGAAGACCACCATGGGATTGGCATTGCGCGCGCTGGTGTGCGGACAGATCCGCCATTTTGCCGCCCGCCTGAATTACGACAAAGCCGCAAGGAGGGAGTAGAAGTAGAAGTAGAAGAGGACGAGGAGGAGGGGGCGATGGCCCCGAAGGCCGGTCGCGCAGACGACGAAAGTCGGGGGCGTCTCTCCGAAGAAGAAGCCTTCTTGAGGCACAGCTCGCAGGATAACCCCCGTCGTCGGCTTCCGCTTCTGCTTCCGCTTCCGCCTCCGCTTCCGCTTCCGCTTCCGCTGCGGGGCAAAAGCGCTGCCGCTGCATGGGCCGCCGCCGGCTGCGCCGCCTCGAGCTGCATTGTAGCCGCCGACAAGACGTTGTTGTTTAGGTTAACCTCCGTGAATTTTCTTCTCTCCCCGAGGAGGAGGGAACGCCCTTGAACTCTCCACGACCTTTCCCCGCCTACCTTACCCCCTCCACGTCTACTGCATCCCTCTCCTAAGCCGGATCTGCATCCCGATACGGACCCCGTTTCATCTCTCACAGCAAATAGCGACCGGGAACCCGTCAATGCTACCACCTCCATCTCTCTCTCTCTCTCTCTCTCTCTCTCTCTCTCTCTCTCTCTCTCTCTCACACACACACACACACACACACACACACACACACACCTCGCTCAAATGGCCCCCTCTCTCGCGCACGTGGAACTCGGCCTAATGGAGAACAGAAACAGATTAAAAATCATGGGGAAATTGCAGAAATGGCCCCCCGTTTTTTCTAATATCTCCCGGTAAATACACCTTCACAACAAATTTTCATGGCAGAAAAAAAAAAAACTGTAGCGCTTCTTGACGGAGGAGGAGCAATCCACACGCGCAACTCAGCTCGGATGATGATGAAGTCCCTCCGTGAAGACTATGACGGCTTCTTGACGGAGGAGCAAAAGACACAGTCGCGGTTGTTTCTGCTTAACAATGATAGGGAGAGCCGACAGTGCGGCGGATTGGACAGCAGCGCCGGCCATTTTCTCGAAGTCCCAAGCGCAAGCGCGTGCGCGTGCGCGTGGCTATCGTTTCACAGGATGGCAGATAGCGACATCTCGTTAAATCTCGTTAAGCCATTCATGCGCGGCCCGCATTAGATAACGAGCACGCGTGCGCGCGCGCGCGCGCGCCCGTGTGTGTGTGTGTGTGTGTGTGTGTGTGTGTGTGTATGTGAGAGAGAGAGAGAGAGAGAGAGAGAGAGAGAGAGAGAGAGAGAGAGAGATCCTGGTTTGCCTCGCAACGAGCGCAATGCTTCAAGATGATAGGAAAAGCCAAAAAGCGGCGAAGTCGCTATGAATGCTTATAGCTGCATGCATCACGACGTCTCCGAGAAGGCGAAAGCTGAGGTGGCGCGCGCGGTAGGAGGGGACGAGGTGATTGGCTTACCTTGAGAGAGAGAGAGAGTCATAGTTGCTCCCACCTTTACACGCGCTTGGTTGAGTCCCTACCCGTCGTCACCCGAATAGAACGTACTGTCATTTTCGCGGCATCTGGACTGGAAGGTGGGCCAAATACAGACAACTGACCGTACGTTCTACTGGGGGAAGACTTCCGACATTCAGAGCACTGGGTAGGACAACATCACATTGCCCTCAGATCCGTTCCGGCGTCGCTAAAACTAGTAGTTCGTTTTTTTTTAGTTTTTTTTTTGCGCCGTATATCTCCTCCCTGCCCCCCCGGATTATCCCACGCCTCTCGCAAACGATTTTCACATAGCCGAAGTATGGCGTCAGGGCATACTCACACTACGGTATCGCTTTCCTAACTGTATCTGTCCGTAATTACGTTCAGGCCTGGATGAATCTGAACGCAATCACGTCCAGAGCGTAGTAGAAAATTCCTTCGTGTGAGAATGCCCTCCGGGTCTCAACAGCAGTCTTCCTTCCCTGTCGATTCTTGAAAGCCTGTTCTCAGCAATCCGAGCGATCGCGCGGGCGAAGTCGACACGCAGCGCGGTCGGGGGGGGGGGGCGCGGGAGGCACGGTCGGAGAGTGCGCGCTACGGAGCGGGGAGGAGAAGATGGGTAGGGTGCGATCCGACTGAGGCGGATCGGGGGATCCCAGACGTGTAGTAGTCGTAAGGGGGAGAGGCGCGCAGTGGAGGGCACGATGGGACAAGGGGGGGGTGCCTGTCTCTTATACACATCTAGATGTGTATAAGAGACAGATTATTATGAGCCTTGGGCACTGGGCCCGTGATTTGAGTTAAAAAAAAAAAAAAAAATATTTTTTTTTCCCCTTTTAATTCTATATTCTTCTCTCAACTTCTGTTTTTGCCTTTCACTACCTACTCCTAAGGCTATCTAGAGGGGACCCCTGCAAGCATAGTTTCCTCTCACT